CACACCATGATTTGCTATTTTTTGTCAATTTTCACTGATAAATTGAGGCAACTAGGGCCGAACATCCTGGGCTAATGCCTTGGGTTCTTAAAATCACATTTTCCGGTTTTCATCTCTCCAAACTTAAGAGAAGGATTTTCTGAGACTTGACAATTGGTTCTTGCTAAGAATTCTTACCTATACGTCATTAAGGGTTTTATTAAGGCCAATTAAAAATTTGTGGATCCACTGTTTTTCAATAATTATTTTGTATTGTTGATTGTTCTTAGAATATTTTTCACTCAAATTCAAGGATATAAAGTTGCTTCCAATTTATTGCCAGAATATTGAATATTTGATTAAAGTGAGTTTATCATGCCTTAGAATATAGAGTTTTGTCATCATCTCAAAGATTTTTGATTTATTGTTTTTGTTGGGGTATTTTTTAGTCATTACATACTATATCTATGTAGTGGTCTTATGGTTCATTAGATTTTCTTTGGTATTATCAGTCATGGAGTTGATTAACCATGACATCACTATATATTTTTTCAAAATTAGATTTTGAATTATATCATTCACATGTGGAATCTCTTCAGTGAGGTAATCTTCCTTTTTTTTAATGAATAAATAGTATAATGGATTGTGACCTTTTGACGTAGTTTTGCTCATTGAGTTTATGTTGGTTCGACTAAAATTCTTGGTGATGATTCCTCTTGGATTGGATGCGACCTTTGAGGCAAAACCATGCCTTCCACTGGCCATGTTGTATTTTGTCATCCCACAATTTACTATACTATATGGTGAAAAAAGTCCTTCCTTTCTTGATTTGGATGGCACCGAAGGTAGAAAAAAAGCAAAGAAGAAGCTATCGTTGGAGTAGCCAATCGATGAAGAAGAAATAATGCAAAAAAAGAATTACTAGGAAAGAAATAGGGATGTCAATAAATGATCCTATATGATATATCGCAACACGAATCTAAAAAAAAAAGAATTTGAGTTGACAGATTGGGTTCGGATATTATCAAATCTTGACTAGTTTAAATTTCTTGTTTGGTTCAGGTTGACTCAGGAACTCGAAATTGATTCAAAAGTGATCTGATTGCTATTCAAGTTTGGGTTAAATTGGTCATGCTCGGATTATATGGGTTGTGTTTGGGTTAATTTGGTCATGTCGATAAAAAAAAAAAATTACATTATCCATATAATAGATGGGTTAAACTAGTTGGGTTTGAGTTAGGTAGGTTTGGGTTCGGGTCAAATATTTTGATCCCCAAACATCCCATGATAACTTTCACATGACTCCAAATGATCGTATGTAGGTAAAATGGAATTCTTCCACTATTAGCTTCACCCCATTGTAAATTCATTCCCAATACATTCATGGTCAACTTGCTATTGCCCCCTCTATCAAAATATGGATCACCTTCATCCATACTGCTAACGGGGCACTTGAAAGGAATCAAAGATATATTATTAAGAATATTTTGTTATTTTATCTGCAAAATATGTGATGATTCAACAGAGATACTATACATGTTAGCAGTTATATTTTTTGCTGCTCCAACAAAATGCTCAATTATCTAACTTTTTTCATTAATATATCGCAGTACAATAACCATTTGTTATTTAGCAAATATGTTATGAAATTCATCAACTAAAATAGAGAAGTAATCTTCTCCAATTTTCTTAATTATGAAGTTTGTTATTACAATCGATGCAGCACTTGTAATATCTTTTTGAATGTAAGACGAAGTTAATTTTAAATTTTCAAGAGCATTTCTTAGTACCACTTTATTTATATTGTTATTATGATAAGTCATAAGCTTCACTAATATAAGAATTTTTTAAATTTTTTTTTGGATTTATAAGACTAATCATGTTCTCAAAAAGCGAGTGATTATCTTGAAGAAACCTCACACAATTGATAAAAGTATTCATATGAGTATTATATGCTATTTTAGCATGATTATATTGCTTCTAAAATATAAAACTAATATGTTGACTCGGTTTTATTAAATCCTCATAATTTCATCGTGCATTATTATTGTCATTTTTATGACCTTGAACATGAAGTTCAAATATATATGATTTTTTCTAATTTAAAATTTTATTTTTATTAGATGTCTTATCATCTTTATTTCCTCTACCTGCTTCTTTGAAAAAATAACAACATAAATGATATGCTTTACATAACCAATTAGAATCTTTATCAAACCAACTAGGATTGAAACATCTATTTTTGTTCCAAATTTACTTTTAGGAAAGTCATAAATGTTAGGCTAACATGGCCCTCTTTGTAAGTATGGTCTTCGAACTTAAGCTTGAATATTTTGGATATGATGTAAGATTTTCTATATCTTATTAAATTTTGGTTGAATCAATCTCTATTTAACTTTATTTTTGTTTTTCTCATCTAAAGGTGTTGATAAATTTAATTTTGATGACTTCTTAAAACATCTCTCCATAGATGTTTAAACTTATAAGTTGAAAAAAACGAAAAGAAATAAAAAATTTAAAATTGAAGCTAAAAACTTTTTTGTTTGATTGTAAATTTAAATTTCCCTATAAAAAGTCATATGTAAAACTAAATTCTATAAAATTGCAAGCTTCAAACATGTTAATAGCAGCACATGGGCCATCATTCAATAATGTGTGTATTAGGTTAGTTAGTGAAAATTAGAAAATAATGAAATAGAGGTTAATTAATTATTAAACACAATCAATATCTTCAAAAATTCAAAAATAAATTGCTTACATGTAAAGGCATATGAGTCATCTTTCAATGATATGGGTGTGTGTTAGTTATATTAGTCGGTAAATATTCGAAAATAATGAACATAGAGGTTAACTAATTATTAAACACAAAAAAAAAATCTCCTCAAATTCAAAAAAAATTGTTAACAAGTAAATGCATAACAAGAATCTACCCAAAATTTTCAGCAATTTTTTATTAGTCATGTAATATAATTCTTAAATATTAATATTATGCATTCAAAAATTCATAACATGCAATCTAATGATCACAAAAAATGTGATAATTATCTGCAGCTTGATATGATATAATCATGTTATATAAAGAGTTTGGGAAATTTCAAAAACCATTTCCTATATTAATCATTTGAATCTATAAATAATGATTTTTTTATAATTAAAAGATAACATCAAAATTTAATGAAACTTTTTGTACGAAATTCCTTGCATTCAATGACATATTCAATTAAAACTTTAAAGGATTTGGCATTCTCAGGTGATCATAAAAAATCATAAAAAAAGTGCTAAAATGTTCCTAAGGAATATTGTCACCACTAGATCTATTTTAAACAGATCTAATAACTCGCATTTTGTCTTCCTAGGATTTCTAAACCTTTAGGGATTTCTAAATCAAATGGTGAGATCAGTTTGAGCAGTTTACTTATCTGTGATTGGAGATTGTTAGATCGGTCCAATGGACTGGTCCAGCCGGTCCACGCGGGACCAGCCCAGGCGGAGAACAGGCGAAATCTCTCCGCCTCTTCCGTCAGCCGCACGCATGCAAGGCTTGAGAACTCTTTTTAGGAAGGTTTTTGAATGGATTCTAGGAGGGAAATTGAATGTAGGGATTGTTTAGGGATTTCCTTTTGATTTGTATGCATTAAATAGTTGATTTTCCTAGGGTTTGAACATCTTGAATTTGGCTGAAATTTGAGATCTCTTAGATTTAGGTTTTCTTTGGGCTCTAGCGGCGTCTAGAGATTTGGGAGAGATCGATCCTTCTCTCGAATTGAGGATCAATTGTATTTTTGCTGTTTTATTCATCTACTAGTGAAATACAAGGGTTTTGTTTGGTTTTTTCTCAGATTTCTTGTGTAAAACTCCAGTTTTTCTCTGTTTGTGGGCTGTTTCCTACTGTGGACAGCAATATCATCGCTGCAGTTTACTGATTTTGGCTAGGAACCCTTGTGAATCCAAGTGTTTCCTAACAGAGATAAGCTGTTTTGAAGTTTGCTGGCGACGGCGAGGCCGACAAGGTGGAGCAATTAGGGCAAGCCATTTAAGAACTCTAAGCTATTAAAAAAAATGGAGATGAGGGTGGGAGGCTGCGGGAAGCAGGGCTACCTCTATATGTATTATGGAGTGGATGGTTTACATTAGATCAGCTTGGCTATCTAGCACCAAAAAGGTGCTCAGAACTAATTTTTCATTGTACTGTCAAGGTCATAATGAAGAGTGTGATTTCTACTGTGACATCAGAAAGAGTTTGGAGAGCTATACTAAGTTGATCCTGAGGTCCAAAAGAATATCAAAGCATTCGAGGAAGTCAGTCACCAACCTTTTGCATGGAAGATGGCCTTCTTTATCATAGCCATCATTTGTGTGTCCCTTAAATGAGCCAATTAAATCACTTGGATTAGAGGGGCTCACACGTTAAGAGAGAGGAATTTGGAGTAGAAAACTTATTGTTGACCCTGGAGTGGCATGCTTGCCAAAAATAGACTTGGACTTGAACTAATTTTTTATGAACTTGTTTCTCTTCAACACATCTAAACTCGCCAATCAATAGTGGGCCTATACATACCTTTTCTCATACTTCGGTTTCGCTTGGGACGGCTTTCTTACTGCTTCTTAAAGCAGCTTTATATTAAAGCCGCTTTAAGAAGCAGTAAGAAAGCCGTCCCAAACGAAGCCTTAGCCTGAGAAAGCAGCTCCATCACTTTCCTTGGATGCCTGCCCAAGACTAAGAAGGACATTAATTATCTATTTTTGTTGATGGTGATAGGTTTAACAAGAAGACATGTTTGATTCCTTGCAACAAAAGCCATCATTGAGTATTTGCAGTAAAGCTATTCTTTCAGAAAGTGTAGAAGCACTTTGGCATACTTCCATCTGTTTACGGTCAACATTCTTATATTTTTTCCAAAACTTGTAAAAAATACAGAAAATAGTAGTTTTTTTTTCGGATATTTCATACATATGAGTGTTATACAGATATAATATGTGAATTTACTAAGTTCTAAACTTCATGAAAATACGTTATGCAGGCATTCTAGCTTGTTTGGATGGTTACATGAACATTGCCATGGAGCAAACTGAGGAGTACGTTAATGGCCAGCTAAAGAACAAATATGGTGATGCCTTCATTAGAGGCAACAATGGTGATTCCTCTAAATCTTGTTGACTTGTCTACAAGTTTCATGAGTACGAGAAATTATTACGTGCAGACTACACATTTGTGTACAAGTGTGTATTCCAAGCAGATGGAGTACACACTTGCGTACTTAGGCTTTGTTTGAGACGGTTTTCTTACTGCTTCTTAAAGCAGTTTTGTAGTTGATTGTTTGTTCGTACGCCGTATATAACACAACCTTACACTTGATTGTTTGTTCGTACGCCGTATATAACACACACCTAATAATTTCTTCTTGAGTACATCCTAATTTCATTTTATTATATTGATAGAAGCTTATCTGTGTCTGCAGTTCTCTATATCAGTACCTCTAAAAGGACAGTTGGAGAAGGAGCATGACTGTTTTTGTTGTTGTACCAAGACTTTTATTAGGTTAGAACATTTTAAAGTTTTCAAGCAAGAATGTAATTTAAATTATTGCTTTCTTATCTCTGGTTTCTTATGAGGATTATATCTAATTTTAGTTTTGATATGAAAATTTACATTCTATGAGCTCTTTTATGCAATATATTTTGTGTTTTTGATACTGGATCTTCTATTTTCTTGTTCCACTGTGAACAGAAGGCACCATGGAGGATTATTGTCCTGTGATGGTTTGGATAGCTTTGCATTACTTTTTTTAAAATAATTTTTTAGTACAAAATATTTATTTCAATTTTTTTTTTTTAAAAAAGTTATTTTAAAAAACATTAAAAAAACTGTTCCAAATGAAGCATAAAGCTTGCATGTTTGTTTATAAATTTACTTATTTGAACTAGTTTGAGCAAAATGTTTAAAACTATTCATATAAATGAATAAGATTGAATATGGACTTGCATGTTTGATGTTTGTTTATGTTTGTGAATATTTTAATTTGTTGTTCAACAAATAGTTCATTAAAAATATGACAAAAGCTCATGATGATTTATTTAATATTAATATTGCATGATTCTTTTTTTTCTCCAGTCATTGTGAGAGTTAAATTTTCATTTAAATTTAATAAAAAGTCTTTTCAGGTCTATCTCTATAACATTGACCAATTTAAATGCATTTACTCTCCTAATTGGATCATTGGAAGGTTGATGTTTTATGCATTCAAATCATGTAAGACAACTCTCTAATTTTATCAATCATTGGAGCTACTCCAACATTTTCACATACATAGTTTTACTTTTTGTCTCTAGAAGTGAAGCCACTAATCAACATGAGTATTCTCATCTCTATTACATTTAATTTTATGCTTCTTTTTTAATGGCCAATATTTTACGCCATAAAATATTGCAAGTCTCACCAATATCTTATAAAATTTTCCCTTAAGTTTTAGGGGTACTTTTCTATAACATGATTGTTCTGATGTATTTCTTCATTTCAACCATCTAACTTGAATTCTACTAATAGTATCCCCATCTGTTTCACCATCTCTTTGAAAAATAGACCCAAGATACCTAAAATATGTACTCTTATTAATAACTTGGTTGTCCAAAGGCACAATCCCTTTACTATATCTATTATTATTAAAATTACAATTTATATATTTGATTTCAGATGTACTCAAACAAAAACTTACAATCTATAAGGTTGACCTCCATAATTCAAGTTTTCCCTCGTCTCCCTCTCTAGTTCTATCTACAAGAAGAATATTATCAACAAAAAGCATACATCAAGTTACATCCTCTTGTAAATGTCTAGTAAGAACATCAATGACTAAAGCAAAAGATATTAGCTTAAAGTTGATTATTGATATAATCTAATTGGAGAATGTTTGATCAAATCATCTTGTGTGTGAACATAAGTAACAGCTCATGCATACACATCCTTAAGCATTGTTAACTCTTTTTGTTTTGTAGAGCTCTCCAGAGTGCTTCTCATGGGACTCTATCATATGCTGTCTTTCTATTTAAATTTAAATTTAAATTTTTATTTACATTTCTCTAGATGAATTCAATAGCATCAAATAAAGTATATTAATCTTTATTTATTATAAATTTAATTATATTTAGTAATTAGATTATATTTTTAAATTAATAGAAATAAATGTATAATTAGTTCGGTTGACTTGGAGCTTTATTTATTTTTTAAAATTCAATAAGAAAATTAAGCTCAATTTTGTTTTGAATTTGGTAAGAAAATAAATGACTGAATCTGAATAATGTAATAGTTGGCTTGATTTGTTCATTTATAAGTCCAAAGTTTCATTAATGATAAATTTAAATTTTGATCAATTCATTTAGTTATTTGTTCAGCATTTTGAATCTAATATATATATATATACTAATACCTATGGTAATATAAATAAAAATTTAATATGCATAAGGTAAAATAAAATTGAAATAAGAATATTAATGAACAAGTGGATATAACTCCTGTATAATGAAATATTATATTTATGAAAGTAAATGAATGAGGGAAATAATGTTCAATTTTTTTCATTTATGTGCCAATGGTGCCCACACCAACTCTCATAATATCATCAAAGGACAATGACCTAACTTTTCCTCCCTTATAAGAGAAAATGTAGATATATTTAGTTTAAATTTTTAGTTAAATTGGATCTAAAAATTTTTAGATCTGATTTGAGTTGTGCTTAAAGATTCAAGAGTTTTGAAGTAAGCTTGACGAATACAACAATAACAACAACAAAAACAAGTTTTTATCCACCATGTGAGGTCGGCTACATCAATCTTTTTTCTCCATTGTGTCATGTTTATGGTCAAATTCTCATCTAAATATAATAAAGAAAGGTCATTTCTAATTTTTCTAACCAAATCTTTTAGGTCTACCTCTATCTTTCTTAAATAAGCTTGACGAATATTTGATTAAAATTTATGTGTTGTTAAATCATATAAGGGCCATGTATCAATATATGCATTATGTTTAGTGTTTGACCTAGGTTTAGCTTAGAGTGGATAATTGTCCACCTTGGAAATTAGTTTTCTTTAACATCTTAAGTGTTTTTGAGAATTTGCCCCGCATTTTCAAAATATCAAATTCATTTGGCAAAATTAAGAAAACTCCTAAGGTTCATCATGTGTTACTGCATCTTATCCCACTCCACATTCTTCTTTTTTTCTTCTTCAACATTAATCTATCTCTCCCTCTCTCCTTCTTTCTCGGATGTCAATAACCCTTGCGAGGACTTTATGATCTGAGTTTTGATTTTCTATAGGCACAAGTCCCTATAGTTAATTACCCCTCCCAATCACGAGAGAGAACTTTCAATTAATGCTAGTCGTCAAACAGATACGTAGAGATACACATTATCTGACATATAGTAGCAGCATTGATTTAGGTATTTGAGAGTTTGATATTTAAAATTAAAAATTTTTACCATCTTTTAATTAAAGTGGATGATGAGGGAAGTGATGATGAACCCGATTATGATCCCATGATTCTGTCATCTTGGGCCATCGTGGTCCCTATTTTACTTAGTCATAGGAGGTATTCTACCCAACGTAATGGGAGGATCCTTGTCAGCAGCCTTGGGTTACATCGTTGAAGGGAACCTCATAAACCTTGGGGGGGGGGGGGGGGCTTTTTTCCAGGGGGGGGTGCTTATTTTATCTAAGTGAATAAATTTGAATCCACCTTAACTAACATAGGGTATTGTGCCCTATTGATTCATATTTCAAGGATGTAGTTTCATTGGGGAGCATACGAGCTTTGGCCATTACCATAATTTAGTGGTGCCATTTGGTTGCAAACCACCAGTTCAGAGGGCCCCGATCATAACCAATTACCTACATAACAATTTAGCAGCACAATCACAATTTAGAGGACATGTGTCACGTCCTTGCTGGCAAAAATGCTATTTGAGAATGAATCCTAATGATATTCTCGACCATATATTAACTTTTTGTAAGGTAAAGTAATTTTTAAATTTGTCAACATCGATAAATTATTGTGAAAGGTGGATGGATTTTCCTTTAAGCATTTGTTGATTGATTTCAATTTTAAATATATACATTTAGGTACTTTCTTGGAGTTTTGAGTTTCACGGTCATTTGGTTGATATTCAAAATATTTAGAATTAATACCTTCGATTGAGATTTATGTTCAACAAGGCTATCATTGGGATAATTTATGAACATTTTTATGTTGTTGATTGAGCCTTGTGGACTATGTTTACTTGCTGATAGAGGATCAGATTTTTCATAGGTTTTACACATTTGTTAGTGAATTATTATTATTATAGGCCTTGAAGGCCTAATATAAACGTATAAAATAAATGTCTCAGTCGACGTCGTGATTGTACCTTTGTTTAATGGTTCTAGCCGTGTCGAATCCTATCTACTCACGTAGGAGAATCGGGTATGAACTTAAGTTTATTATTTAACCTTCCCAACATCATCAGACATCACATATTACCCATAACACACTCGTCGGGACCCATGCGGGTGTATGATGGGTCTTCTACGATAGCTCATATTTATTGTATCCCTCTTGTATTTGCCCGTATATGACATGTTGAGTGCATGACGGGTCTTCTATAGCGGCTCGTAGGAGTTTACATTTGTTGCATTTCTTCCTATGTTTATAGTAGCTCGTATGCATGTTATTGTGCGTGTGACAAATGTTCCAAAACTATTAGCGACCACTTGCATTTACCATGCTCTTCTATCCTTGCTTGTGTACAAATTCATGCATTCGTTTGTAAGCTTATGTTGCCTACTAGCCGAGCTGCATTTAACACCAATCTATCCAAACATGTTCATTGTTATTGACTATGAACGAGCTGCATCCACTACAATTTGCCCAAGCATATTCTTTTAGTGAGTTACTCTCTTCTTTACAAGTAACCCATCACATTCACTAATAACCCATCACATTCACTAATAACGCTTTTCGTTGATGCTTTCAAACTTCTCCACATAGACTTATGGGCTCACTACATGGGCATTACAAGTTTTGTATATTCATCATGAACTCTTCTGATGAATTAACATATTCATCGTAATCATCCGTAGGATTGATACGAACACCTCTAGCATTGGTAAAGAGTGGTAGATTTCACTTGCTAATTAATTGTCGACATTTGAAGGGACATTATAGCATTCATCATACACTGCACTATGTGTGCTTGTAAGAAGCTTCATTATACTGATTGGCAAATTGCTACATTTGCATGCATCTCTTCTAATGCTTGTGGGAATTATTATATGTCTTTGCTTGACATCTAGTATTGGTCGCAAGAAGGTTGCGGCATTCACAATTTAACCATTGTTGTCATTGCTTGTTGACATTCATTTAAGTGTCTAAAACTTGTCATTTTAGGTCTTTATATTTTGGCTTTATTGCAATCTCATCAGTTTAAGGTCCAAAATCTCGTTATATGAATTAAGTTCAAGTTCAATCTGACTCCTTTTTAAGTGTCGAATGCTTAAATCATTTGTAGTTCACTTAATTTCAAATTATGTGCACATTCATTTAATTTTTAGTTCATCGTTCATTTTAAATTCTGTGTTGTTCAAGTCAAGTTCAAGTTCTCTGTTGTTCAAGTCTTTTTTAGGTCCTCTGTTATTCATTTAATGTTTAAATCAAGTCCAACTC